GACCCTACTCACTACTGCTATACTGCATATTGTGGGACGTAGGAATTGATATTTTATTTTGCAGCTGTGTGACACGCTAGCATAATGTATGTCGTGTAATGTATGTCGTATTTAATAGAGACAAAGATGTTTATTTCGCACTCCGTAATGATTTAATAGAGCATATATGAGAGAAATATAGTAACTTGTATTTTATTTGAACTATGACTATAATGTATATTTTTTTTAAAAAATTGTTATGAAATAATAATACTATTATGTTATCTTTGTTTATTTATTATATCATATTTGTCTTGATATCATTTAATTATTTGTTTAAAATTATTTTATTTGTAATAGTTATTAATTATAAATGTTAATTTTCATATATGTAATTTTTAAATAAAATATAAATTATATGTGTATTGATTATAATGTAAAAATAATTTAAAGTTGGAGTGTAATTTATAAATATGAAAAATTATATAAAATAATATAAAAGAAGAATATATATGAATATACTTTTTAGAATAAAAATTAAAGTTTATGATCGGAGTAAAATTATGGTAGATCAACTACATTTATACGGTAACAACTGCAAAAATGGAATAGAGAGTTGGATATGAAATTAATATATTAAGCTACTGCATAATTCCAATCAATCTCAAGGCAGTAGATGAAAGATTTGTGAATCATGAGCCAATTACGCTCTATCCGATAGACCAATATATAAACTGAGAAGGGATAGACCAAAATGGTGATAGACATGTTATTAATTGGCCACAAACCAAAGAATAATACAATGATACAATCAACAAAAGAGAAAGTAATCACCTGGACGAAACAACAAAGGTTACTAACATTACAAATAATTTAAAACGCTTACATTATAAATATTATACTTACTGCACAATATAATCACGCTTCAATACTCCAAATAATGTACTATTATACCATAATACTAATAAAAAAAAGGCATATGATTCATGAATCCAAATCTCAAATATGTTATTGATTTTGCACTTGATATAACTAAAATACAAAATAAAAATCAAAGTATCTTTACAGAAAAATAAAAGTGTCATTGGTCTTCAATATTCAAACAAAAAAAAAAATGTCATTCAAATGGCTCATAGTCTTCGGTATTCAATTGATTTGTCTGGTGATTATTTTGAACCGGAATGTCTATATATAAAAAAATTGAGTGAACATAATAACATACACGTTGATTATTATATATAATACAAATAACTAATAAAAAATAAATACTTAAGCAATTCGATGAATTTAATAGAATATTGTAATCTATCGGGAAGAAATTGATTAATTTGATTTTGCACAAAATTTTGATACTGTATTACAAAATTCACAATATAATAGAAAATAAATACTACAAATATAATTGTTCAAATGTAATGTAAACTAAACTGTTGCATGAGGTAATTTTGATGAAACATATTTTATCATTGTTATTCATAAATGATTTCGTTGCTGAAATAAAATTTTAGTATTTAATATGGTAATTAACTTCAAAATTAAATATCACAAAGTATATTATACCTACACAGAAATCGAAATGTCAAAGGTTGACGCATCTTTTGTTGAACTTGAGATTTAGGTGAATGATTTTTTCTTCTTCCATGAAGCTTTCTCTAATCTACTTTTAAGTTTTTTTCCTGAAATAACTTTTGTTTTAGCTTTTATTCCAGTAACCTTTATGCTTGTTTCTTTACCTGTTGATGAATTCTTCTCTTTTTCTTTTGATTTCTTTAAGCTTAAATTCTCCCAAAAAATATCGATATTTTGCATCTTTTCATTAACCATTTTAATCATTTCATTGAACTCATCTCTTACTATTTCATATGTTTATAAGTTGATTGGAAATATTACACAAGTCTCTATACCATATTTTCGGCAATACTTTGGAATCCAAGTCATCCACATTATGAGATGTCACTGTATTATGAAAATCACCAACCTTTGCTTTTCTTGTCCATCGTCTTATTATATATGAATCTGGAATCTCAATAATATTATGTACAGTAAAAACCTTAAAAGCATGAAAACAAAAAATTCCACAAAACTCAAATTTTCTACAACTACAATGTATCGTGCTATTTAAAGAATTATACTTGACAATGTGATGTTTTGATTTTCCGAAAAATGTAACATGATAACTTGAAACACATTTAATCACGCTAAAATATAAAAACTACAATCATAAGCCTTGCACAATTCCTTTTGAAATATTTTATATACTTCTGAAGTATAAATACTTGTTGCATGTTTTAACAATTGAGTAGGAAAGGATTATTTGTGTTTGCTTTAAAATCCGCTTTCAACTCTTCATAACGACGATTATCAATCAAAGTTTGAAAATATTCAAAAAATTGACGCAAACTATTCTTGTAATTAACATAACTTTTAACCACACTATTCATGCTCTCGCTTTTTTGTGTCGTAGTGATATCAACACAAAAATATTGACGACCATAAATCAGTGCCTATTTTTCTTTTTTACTGAATAATCTTTTCAACCAATCATTATATTTTGAAGATTATATTTTTCAAGCATATTATTCCATTCAATTAAAAAATCTTCTTCTTCAAAATCATAAGCACACTTATTAAAATCATTTGCAAAATATCTGTATTTATCAAAAACCCCACCTAAATGTTTAACATCATTTTGATATATATGCCAAATACATAACATGTGATATATCTCTGGCCATTTAGAAGCTAAGACTTTGGTCATTGCTGCATCTTCATCGGTCATAATAGTATTTGGCTTCTTACCTCACTTGCTAAAAGGAAATACATCAAATAACCATTCAAATATTGCAGTGGTTTTATCGTATAAAAGTGCACAACAAAAAATGATAGTTTCTTTGTGATGATTACACCAACAAACAATGCAAGAGGACGATTTTAAGATTTTTTTCCATAAGTTGTATCAAAAGTTATCACATATCCAAATATGGCATAATCAGCTTTCGTTTTTTCATTTGTCCAAAATATATTAATTATTGCATCATCCTCATCAACTTGAATTGAGTGAAAAAGTTTGGATAAAAATACATGTATCTTTTGTAAATATTCAAGTACTCCCCCGTATCTCCAACTTTGGTTCTCTTTGTACGCAAATAATTTCTATAATATTGAGAAGTAAATGTTAAATTATCACGACCACTTGCTTGCTTGCGCATATATAATTATGAGATATTTTTGGTGGAATACCTATATTATCTACTATTTCAATTTTAGTGGCATGTGTTTCAGTTATTTTCTTTGTGTGATCTAAACATGTGAGATTCATTTCTCTAGATAATATATGATCATGTTCTGGAATAAAATTTAAAACCTCATATTTTTCATTTTTATTCAACTGTATTTTTATTTTTGCCAAGCATCCAAATCTAGTTTCGGCATGTGAGTTTTTCACAACAACAAAATGTTCTATCAATAAGTTTGCAATTTTTTTATGTTGGGTGTTTTTTCTAATACCAAACTCAACCAATTTAGGATATGCAGAATACAATTCTCCAACAAAATTTTCAGTATCAAATTCCATACCTTTATAAGGAATATGTTCTTGTGAAATGAATTTATGTAATAAATAATGAGAATTAAAATTATCAAAACATAAATCATAGATAATAATATGATTATCATTTTCTTTATTGATTTCAGAAATTTCATGCAACACGTGTTAAGTTTTATTTAGAATAAATTGTCTAAGCATCTTTATTAAAATACAAAATAAAATGGATATAAATATTAAAAAATAACATATCTGATATTTGCATTTGATAAATTTGTGGCAATATTCTATGACATCTGATACAATTGTAAATATAATCCTGTAAAAGAAACATAAATCAATTATTTAGCATAATTACACCATCTCTGCTCCCCATTTTTAATTCTTTTTAAAATAAAATTTAACTTAATCCCCATATCAAAGGCCTGCCTAAGAATGAGATTTTCAGCGATGAACAAGAGTAGATGCGAACAACACTACAACAAAAATGATCGAAGTCGACTGTCTGAGATGCTTTCTAAATACTAAATTAGGACAGACAGAAATTGAAAAAAACAAATCTACGTCGACTCCAATACATTGAAAAAATCTTCTCAACACTTAATTAGGGCAGGCTAAACTAACAAACAAAACAAGACGAGAACTCTGATATTTGTCAGGAAAGTGGAAAAAGCGGAGATAATTAACGGTTATTTTAAGATAATTAATGATTATTTTAAGAAATTAATTTAAAAAATGATATTTTATATTTTGCCACATGAATTGTTTATTGGATGAAATAAGGAAAGAGAGAAAATGGACATCCAGGATTTGAAGCAGGAGCACACACCTTTTTCTTTAAGATTGTTCAACTAGCCATCCATACACTTCAATCATGTCTATTCTATTTTTCTCTCATAAACTCAAATATTTTTCCTTGCCTATATACATTCTTCCTTCTGTTTTTTCTTTAAAATGTTCTTCAATAATATTCCATCTAACAAATTATTTCCAATTGGAATTTTACTTTTCACTATCTTACTTTTCACTGACCCTAAGTTTGTTACATTGAATTGCAATCAACTTCATCTACTTGACGGAGAGGAGATCAGCTGTTGTGGTTCTTCCTCGAAGAGAAACTTAACCCATTCTCTATCAAAAATCAAATTGAATCAATGCAGTAGGCCAATTTCTTGATTGGGCTCACGAATGCACATTCACCTCGTCACGGGCATTCTGGTCCATTTCAAAACATCAATCAAAACAATAATAACGAAATTCATCGCCAAATTCATAGTTTACTTGTAAAATTTTGATTTTGAGTTTTGGTTTTAAATAGTAAAATTTTGAATTAAAATAGTTATTTGATGTGATATAAATATGTATTGATTTGATGTTTTAAATATAAAAATTAATTTAGTATAATATAATAAATAAAAACTAAATGATTGATTTGATATTTTTGGACGAAAAAAAAATTAGAATAATAAAACCAAAATCAAATCTCACAAGTAAACACATTTTTATTAAAAACAATACAGTCGCAAGATGTGCCCAACAGCTCGAGTGTATTTCCTTACAACGAGCAAATACTCGAAACAAAAGCTCAATTTCGGGCCCGAAAACGATCGAGGCGCATCATGATGGATTAGGCAGGTCTTTCGCGAGCCGAATTCGACAATCACACCTTCAAAATTGGAATCAATAACGGCGATACGAAGGGTAACACGGCCGTCGGGAATTTCTAAGCCCGACTTCTTGTAGTGGTTCCCGGTAACAAATAAATTCATCGATCTTCCCGGACTCAATACAAGTGTGTCCTTTGTCTTCACTGATTCTTCCCTTGTCGCTGCTCGGACATCTTCACCAGGCTTATTTCCCGGGCTTGCGCTGTCTTCTTCTCGCGCAGAACTGCATCAAGACATTCCTCACCGTTCTTGTCCAGATGAACAATCTACAGACATACCATCTACAAATCACTCGTCTGCGCCATTCTTCTTCGAGGAATTCTCAAGCCACTTCTTCGCGGAAGGAGGGTGGATACGAGAAATACGCTGGACAAATTCTCTCTCGCTCGGGGCTATCATTGTAGAGACGCTGTATTCCTTCTTACAAATCCCCTGCTCGACTAGCCACTTATGCAATCGAAACCTCGGCTTGATTTTTCTCTCCAGGTTGTAAATAAGATACCCCGGGAAGACGTCGAGAAACTGCAAGCTCAATCCCATCTCCGTGCAGAGGAATTTGATCTTTTCATCGAGCACGTTTTCTCTCTGGTTCAGAATCTTCGACCGAAACCTCACCAACGAACAGACTTTGGGATACTCGATTCCCCAGTTAAGAAGGCAGTCGAAACGCTTCTGCAGTTCGTACGCGCTGCCCTTCAATTGAGCTAAAGCTTTAATTGCAAAAACGTTTTGTCCGAAACCGACGCTGTGTAAGAACTCCAACCTCTTGAGGGAATAACATTTAGTCTTGCGGGCTTCAATCTTTTGCAAGCTTTCAATGTAGTTCTTATCGACATCCTCGTCGTCGCTGCAGGTGATGGACGGATTACCCAACAAAATGTGACACCCGTCTTTCATTCTCGAAAAGAACCATTCGCCGAGACCCAAAGATCGCATCACATTCGGCAGATTCGCCATTCTGTTCCTGCCGAATACGTGAGGATACCGTTGCTTAAGTGATTTCAAGTCATGCTTGCTCAATCCGAACTGCCTTAGAATCGACGAAACCGAAATCATCCAAGATTCTAAATCGTATCCGAAAATTTCGGGCTGCGAAAGAAGCAGCATTGCTACTTGATCTTTTGCTACGCCTAGTTTGCTAAAGTAATCGATCCTGCTAATCAATTCCTCTTTTGAATAATCGACGAAAATGCTTCGGCTTCTGCCTAACAATTCACCAATCATTCCTACCTCACAGCCCCATTGGTAAAACAATCGAATCTTTACACAAAGTGCAGACACACCATCAATGTCACAATCCACATGGCTCAACAGATCATGATCTAAGAACAGAATCTTCAAATCAGTTAACAAACCATCCATTTTTTCGTGCAAAACTCGAGGGAAAGCTAAGCAAATGGCAATTAAAGAAACACTGTTGAATCCATAGACATTTTTGATATCTCTAATTGTTCTCTGCAATTCTGAAGGATCAGTTTCGAAGACCAGACAATCCGCCTTCCATAACATACCTAATTTGCTCCAGGGGAACCCTACGCCTGCTAAGGCACTGGCAACCTTGAAATGCTTGTAATCGGAGATGAAATATGTATGCGAAGGCGAAACGGAATCGGGCAATTCGCCGTCGAATCCGATGCTTTCGAGGAAGAATTCGAGCTCGTTAATCGGATGGTACCTGAGGAACCGTTGAAAGGAGTGTGCGAACGGCGTCGATTGCGAGAACGGTACCTCGGAGACGACTTCCGCTAGAGATCGAGGGGAATTTCTGGCGATGTAATCGGCGTAGGGGTAGGGCAGAGAGCGAGTGACATTGAGGTATTCTGCGAGTACTTTCCGAGATTCGTACATGACATTAAGCTTGCGCTTTGGGGGAAGCTGAGAGAAGGATTTGAGGTCAGTTCCGGTGGAGAATTGTCGGTAGATAGCTGCGGCGGAGCGGGAGGATATGGCGGAGATCGCCGCGCCGGCAGCGGCAGCGGCAGCGACGCGGCGGAGGTTAGTCATTCATGAATTAGGGTTTATGGAGTTACTAAGACAGATGTTTGGACTTTCAAGCTGTAGGGGATGCTTCCGCATCTTTTTTTTTGTTTTCATTAAAATTTTAAATTCAGAGGTATAAAGATCTCTTATTTTTGAGGAGATTTAAAACGCGACTAACTACTATCATTACTTGAGCATTCGGATCTTTGTTCGAATTTGTCAAATACATATTAACCCGAAAATTACTAATTTCTTTTTAAAAAATCAATATGAACCCATTCAAAATAATCGAAATCTAAAATAAAAAATTAAATCAAATCGAAAAATTCAAAATTCAATTTTATTTTTTTAGATAAATTATATAACAGTCCTTGTATTTTAGTAAAAATACACAAAAAATACTTTATATTTTACTTACGTGAAACCCTCTTATGTTAATAAAAAGCTTGCACGAAAGAAATCATTTATTTTTATAGTTTTGAAAAAAAAAATCACATAACGAATTATCTCTGAAAAATTATAAAATAAAGGATTAATCAATTAGTTTTTATTTATTTTATTCAAAATATTATTAGTTAAGATATTTTATATTTTTTATTTGTATAAAATTTACTTAATTTAAGTCTTTATTTAGATCCAAATATCAATTTTGGATTGAAATGATGTTTCGTTCAAAGTTTACATTAATACAAGAGAATTCATGTAATAAATAAGTATTTTTGTTCATTTTTACTAAAAACACAATGGTGTATTATATAATTTATGCATATCTTTTTCTTGTTAAATTATAATTTTATATATTTTTATAATATTAAATAAGTTAAAATGTATTTTTCGTCGCTTCTATTTATATTATTTATATCCGTGTTACTTTTAATCATTATATTATTAAAATAACACTTTTAATCTCTTTTATTTTTATTTGTATCAATTTTAGTTTATTTATTTTAAATTAACTAGCGGGGTGACCTGTGTTATGAATGAGTATTTTATATACTAATAGGGGAAAAAATATCGAAAATCTGGTATACCGTCTATATCATATATAAAAAATTATCATGTTTTCAGTATAATGTAAGTTTGAAAAAATAGCAAAAAATTCTCCCGTGGTTTTCACAATTTGCTAAAACCCCCCATGTTCTTAAAATTCTATAAAACTTACTCGTGATTTCCAAAATATTGCACACTTGCCCCTCATTTCAAAATTGGACTAACGGTATTAAAACTTTACTTGTTTGATCGTTATACCCCTGAATGTTTTTTTATTTTTGACAACTTATTCTAAGTTTGATCAAGTACATATACACACACATTTACATAGATATACATACATACACATATTTACATTAACACGCTGCTTCTTACCTACTACCTTTCTTTTTCTTCTTCATTTTTCTCCATTTCTTTTCACCTCTGTATCTTCATTTTTTACACATAAAAATACACACATACATACATATTATTCTTCTTTTTATTTTTTCTTCTTTCTTTTTCTCCATTTCTTTTTTTTCCACCTATATATATTTTTTTTACACATACACACATACATATATATTCTCTCTCTTCTTTTTTTCTTCGGTTGCCCGTCTCATTTTCTTCTTATTTCTTATTTTCTTTTCTCAATTTTTTTTTCACCTCTATTTTTTAAAGTTTCATTTCAATTTAGGAGATTGATTATCGATTCTGTTTGTTAAATTCATAGATCGAGTGACTAAATCGTATAATCTAATTGTTTTTGTACTCATTTGAATTCGATTGAAGCCCCTACCAATTTGAATTTGAAGAGTTTGAAGTTTAAACTAAATCTTGAGAAAAACATGCCTAATTTAAGAAATTTTGAGAAAAACATGTCAGTTTCATATATAATATCATTGTCCTGTTAAAATATATTTAAAAACAATACATTATGTTTATGGTAGTTATCTTATTTAAGAAATTCACAAGATTCTTGCTTTATTTAGACGATTTGTATATCATTATAAATATGTATGTATTCTTATGATTGAAATAGAGAATTTCAGTTTCATATTCTAAAATTCTAAATAAGGTTTTTACTGAGTTCACGCACGTAGTCGCTGTAAAAACTACTAGAAATGTGTTATGAATAAGGTTTTTATTGCGTATGAAGTTTCTGATTTTCAAGTTGAATTTAGGTTGCAATTGTTCGAGTCTCATGGTGTGCTTTAAATTTAGTTTAAATTTTTGCTCAAATTTCTTCTATTATGAGAATTGGGGTGAGCTCAAATGGAGTAATAAAATAAGGGGGAGAAGAGAAGAGAGAAGAGGAATGAGAAGGGGAAGATGAATGAGAATGAGAGAAGAACGCATATAATAAAGTAGAGGGTCATTTTAGTGACTTCATATAAAGATATTTATCACTTTCTGGACTAAAAATCGTATTTGAAGCATGTGAGATACACTCTCGGTTAAGTCCTAACGGATGAGAGTTTTTCTGCCACGTTTTACAAATCACAAGTAGGTTTTTTGAAATTTTAGAACCAGATGAGATTTTCAACAAATTCAGCAAACCATAGGAGAGTTCTATGTTATTTTGCCTATAAGTTTTGGTATGATACGACAGTGTATCGTTAATTTCAGTATGATAACAATATAAAATTTTGCATACCATAGTTTATCGTTGCTATACCAAAGTTCCCTATATATTACAATATTAATTTATACCAATATTCATTATATAGTTATATTTGAACTTTTAATTATCATAATTTTTAATATTTTGTTGCTTTCGTTTTCTAACATAATATCCGAGAAAATTTAAAAATTATATTAATATTATTTATCATATTAATTTTATGTTTAGCCTAGAATCCAAATGCCCCAATAAAAAATATCGTCAACTTGAACGAAGGTAGATTTCAGCAACGTTTAAAAGAACTTGTTTGTTGTTGGGTTGCTAAGATCTCTCACGGTTATCTATACTAAAAGAATATAACACACAGAAAGTAATGAGAAACAATAAATTTGATAGTGTAAAATAGATTAAAAATACTGGATAGATCCTTTTGATACTACGTTGATCTTAGGAGTAAACAAGAGATATATTATTTAAAATCGGAAAGGCTATTTCTATTTTATTTAGGTCCAGTTGGTTCGTACCACAAAGTCTTTATTTTATTTTATTTATTTATTTTTTGTTTTTATATTTGTTTTCGCTCTTTTAGTCTTAAAATTAATCTCTACAACGAGTTTTTAATTAAGAATTTAATGTGTATATTTGACAAATTTATGTTATTTTTTCTTTTTCTTTTTCTTTTTCTTTTTTTGTAAAAATAATAATCTCAATTGTATTTAGAATATTCTAGAGGTAGCATGTATATTCGATGTTAAACAAGGTAAGTCATGATGGAATTGTTAAAATGCTTATGATACATGTGAGATGGGTATATTAGTGTACAATTTGACGCTAGTTTTTAATATATTCAGCTCCTAAAACAAAACTTATGTTGAATGTTACAAATAATATCTATTATTTGACACAAATAAAATTAACAAATATTTTCATAAAATAATTAAATCTTCATGCGTCAAAATATTCTGACATGCACAATTATAACGCACAATTAAGAAGAGTATCATAAATTTTTTGTCAGGTTGATATTTGAATATTAATTATTATATTAATGTGTAGTATAAATCAAGAAAAGAATATAAAAAATATATCTATTAGTCTCTTATAATACAAATACAATAACACTTGTGGAGTAAATTATACAAATATAAAGATATTTTTAATGTTAAACACAATGACGCAAAATGCAAATGATACCTTTTGGATGGAGATAGTATTTTTTTTTTCCAATTCAAATTAATATTAGGTATTATTTTAACATGTATTAATCTCCTATTGTATGCATTTTTGTTTTATTCAAAAAAAATTATTAAAATTATCTAAAAAAACACTTTTGAATTAAAAATTAACATATCAAACAATTTTACCGCTCAATCTCAAAATTGTAATGGGGTTCCTACTAAGGTCGTCATGCTCCAGAGAGAAGCAGAATTGCTTAGTTGAATTCTTGTTGGTTATTTAATTAAAAATGTGATAGAGGAATAAATGATTTCACCCACATTTTATTTGATTAATTTATTTTGATTTGAAAAAAATAATCAGATAAAATAATTTTTTACAACGGAATGCAACGTGCAGAAGTGGGTAGTTTTTTCCACGTGATTAAATAAAATATAATCCCTATTTGGAATACGAAAAATGAATTCTCAAATTCTTTGAAAATTCTTCCTTCTAAATTCTTAGAAATTTCTCTGCAAATTTTCTTCCAAAAGTTATCTAGTACGGTTCGCAGAATCCGTTATTCTGTTTTGATTCATTGTATTCTGGGAGGCAATCGGTGGAGGACTGAATTTTCTTTAAAGAAATCACGTGCCACGCGAGGCTCAGATTTGATTTCACATCCTATCTTACTTGTGTTTTCGGATTTCGTCATATCTCAGATTTCTCTAATAAGTTTCCAACAATCTTGAAGCGAATTACTGGTGAAATTTGAGATGGCTGACGAAATTCCTCAGATCCATGATCAAATCGCGGATGCCCAAAACCTACCTGATGACGAAGAAATGATCGACATTGTGCGCGATGGAGGCGACATAAATCGGAATGATGGTATTCAGATTGGCGCAGATGGAGAAGGGAACAAGGAGATTAACTCCATCGAAGTCTCACACTTCTGTTCTCTCTGTTCCATGACCTCAGCCACCCCCGCCCAAACGGTGAGGCAGCCATGAGGGCTGCTGCCCAAAAGGCTGCACAGGCAGCGTACGAAACAAGCCTTCAAGGCCGCAATGGAGGAAGCGCATCATGTTGCTGGAACCACCAACCAGCATTTTGCAAAAAAAAAAAAAAAAAAAAAAAAGACAGAATCTTACCCGTGTGAGACAGCTTCTTGTTGTTCTGCCTCATCCACAACATATGGCTGTAGAACCTACGCAGGGTCTCGTTGCATCTGTCGAACAACACTAGATGACTTGGGAGGTATACAACCTGTTGCTGTTGTGAACCATGTAATGCAACATATTGCTGCAACCTTCAAGCAGCCTGTTGCTACGGCAGCCGAAAAACCAGATA